CTACTTCTACTTCTACTTCTACGTCCACTACTTCTACGTCTACTTCCACTACTTCCATTGCTTCCGCTACTTCCACTCCTCCTCCTTATTATTACTACTCAACTACTACTACTGCTACTACTACTCGACCAGTACTAGTACTGGTATACCAGTACCAGTAGAAAAGTAATCACCAAAATCAACATTGGCGCCTTCCGCTGGAGTCGAAGGCTTCGGGGCTTCCTTGGGAGTCCCGGGCTTGGAAGCATCCAGGGGAGTTGTTGGCTTCCTCGCCTGCAGTGGAACAGATTTGGGTTAGATTAAGAATCTACATGTAAAGTCACACTCATCGGACTAGCATAGATGACACACAAGAGCAAGTTATTGCAAGGCCGAGAATAGGAAACACATGACGGCACTACCAAGACGCAAGCGACCCGTTTTTCTGCATAAGGCAACAATGTTGAATGACCGAGACCGTTCTTGCCCGGAAGGCATCGCTGGACGCATCCTAGAAACTTCAGCCTGAGTATGTTGGGTAGCAGTATGACACTCCCGGAATTCAGGAGCCACGCCCGCCTCATCGTCATTGTCCTGCGCAAGAGCCACCCAAGAATCTTCTGAAACGGACTAAGGATGCTGGATTTAAGGTGTGGGTGTGTGGCAATTTCTGGAACTGAGAGTCCCCCTATATCAGATGATATCCCCCTCACATGCAGGCTAGCGTCAAGGCAAGGTCCCAAAAATCAAGCTTGAACGAGGGCAATTACAGCAGCCTTCTACTGAAGAATCTCATAGAAGCCATGCTAGCACTGAACATCGAAGTGCGAGCAGTGCCATAAGAACATCAGCAACTGAACATCCTACCGTGATTCTTGTGCGCTTGCAGCGATGGCGTGATTATGCTGTTACCTTCAGCCATATTGCTGCTGCTGGAGCAGACGCTGCTGATATTCTTCGTCTCAGTCAGTGTGTTCTTCATGCTTAGAAGAGGACAACCTTGGGGCTGTGCACGGGATCTTTGCAACCAGTCTCATGGGGGGAGCTGTAAGAGGCCAATATTGTGACATCTCCTTGGTATCTAGCATGCCAAAAAAACATTAGCTGTCACAACCAGCCTGAACACACTAAACCCTGAAGCCTAAGTACATTGTAAACTAAAAGGACAGAAGCACGGAGGAGCGCATGCACAAACGCTGGCAGCAGTCCTCCCGTCGGCGCTTATTCTTCTTTTTGTCATCCTTGCTGTCCTCCCAAAACAGCAGCATGATAGAGTGAAAGTTGAAGTTGAAATTGACAACATAATTAGCAGAGCAATGGCAGTAACAGCAACCGCTACCGCAGCAGAAGCAGCAGCAGCGGCGGCGGCGGCAGCGGACGCCGACGCCGCCGCAGCCGCCGCCACGACCACAACGACAACGACCACGACCACCACCACTACACTCCAAACACGCCCCATGGAACAGCAATACTTAAGCGCCAGCTATGAGGAATTCTTAAAAGCTGGCAATCGCGCGTACCGCAAATAAGGTACGCACCCTTCAGTCTCCTACAACTTCCTCTTATGTCCGCCCTTGAAGGCCTTTGTCAAGTCCCAGGTGACAAAAATTCCACCCAAAGACAGGCTTGCCCTCATCAAACCCAATGATGTGAATACCCAAACCCGGTGAAGGCCTCGCCCTCTGAGTCAGGCTCCACGTCTGGCCAGCACATAATTACCTGGTGACAACTCTAAGCTTGCCGTAGAATGCTACCGCATAAACGCCTTCGTGAGCTAGGACTTGGACTCACCATGCGTACTTGCAATCACCAAAGACTCAAATCCAGTTAGATAGCTTGAGCTCACTCCACATATTGTGAACTCTTGTATTATAGCGGAACAAATACTCCACTATACACCTACAGCACAGAAGCCCTGCACGCCCTGCAACTGATTACAAGCCATAGGATCCATAGGCGTCCCTTGAATGTTTACAAACGATGCATAGAACTTCTCTGAGCAGCCCGCACAGTTGTTCATGAGAATCCCTACACGTCCTCCCGCAACATGAAACAACCATTGCAAATCACGCCTCGCGATCCTCTTTCTTGTGCTTGCGGAAGGCCTTCGCAGTTGCTCTCGATAGTGTCACCCCTCTAGACCTAGAATAAAAACATGCTTAGAATAATCCCTTAGCGGTATGCTAGATACACAAAGGAAAAACGCTCCTAAGGGGACTGCAGGTTAGGAGTTGCGTGTGGCGGTCCTAGAGGCTGCCAACGAAATTGGTGGCAGTAGTGGTAAGGATGCATATGGAATTGAGAGTCAGTTCTTTGAGGTCCAGGGCACTTGGCGCGTGCATTATACTGGGTCGACATGATGTAGCCCCAAAGCATATTGAAAGAGGGACCAAAGCCCATCAGCTGCACATGTCCAAGCCTGTGGCCATCGAGTAAGCAATGTTTCCTGGACTGGAGGCAAAGCCTAAAGGTTCCAGTGCGTGGGTGTGGTTTCTGTAAGGCTGTAGGAATGTCTCTAGCCATGGGTACATAGGCCGGGCTCTTATTATTGAAGGCTTCTCTTGGCTTTGGGTGTAGGGCTTCGGTAGGCTAAGCAATTTGCCAAGGGCTTCTTGACCAGCTGGCTCGCTCGTGCACTTCCTAGAAAGCAACGTACTTGACATTGCTGTTTAGATGGCTACCACGCTGCCTGGCTACACAAACAAAGTCTGGTAGCAGAATGTATCTGTATATCCCGGACTGCAAGCCTTAAATCCTGAACACCAAGCTCCCGAGCAGTCGACTCCAGAATGCGGAGAATTGATCCCCTAAATCCTCGAAGCCTGCATACCCAGTTCCCCCCAAAAACCTGGGGAGTTCATGTTATGTGGCAATGGAAACACCTAATTGGTCACAATCATCGATCCAGGGCCAAAGGATGACGATCAAATCGAAAGGTACTGGACAAATATACTCACACGAATCCGTAAGTAGCAATCTCCTGCTTATGTCAAGGACCTCCCCCAATCCATTTTATCAGCGTCTGTGTAGGTATCACGGACATGAAGTCATGAAGTGCTGTCAGCTCGAGTGCGCGGGCGCATAAGCGTTATTCAGTCTCATGCCCTTAATCCTGAAACCTAAGCCCTGAATGCCAAGGTCGCAATCCTGGAAGCCATAATCACAACTTGCGTGTAGATACATCACCAAAAGCAGCACTAGGAACTGTGACATGTGTGGGACAAACAGTAAAAAGATTAAAAAAAAAAAAAAAGAGCTGCTGCTTCGCATTTCTGGCTCTTCGACTCATATAAAGGTCCCTTGCCTCCACAATTAAACCCACCCAAATCCCCCCAATCCTCTAAGACTCTACATAAATGATGTCACACACGATGTGCTGCAGTGTACTTGGGCTACATTGAAATTTACTGTGCTCCTTCTATACTGTTACAATAGTATACTACATCACTACATACTGCACTATTTTTATACCGCACTGTATACTGTACTCAGACTATACAAGATTATATATGCTCGAAACTTATTTAAATGACAATGAGAAGTCCTGGGTCTGCTTCTCCAATGCACGCCGGCGATCTTTATTTGTGTTTGCACCGCCTTCCGCCAGCAACGGGGGAGTTGCATTCCAAAGCATAATATAGGAACACAAGGTGCAAGAGATAGATTCTGAAATGCAGGGGGTTGCTTTTATCTCTCTCTAGGGAATGAATTCTTACGCGGACATATCGGTAGACCCGTATTTTATGGGAATTACACTACTCATGGGCACTTCAAAATGTGGTATGTCACCACGCTGCATCCCAAAAAAACCGGCCCCAGGCCCACTGCATGAACCCTCTTGAGAACAGATCACCCTAACCCAACAATGGACCAAGGAGCCTGGGTTATTTTTGTGCTTTGCCTGGATCATCAAGCGATTGCCTGAAATTCGCGATTCTTAACATGGTGAGCTTTAAGGTTCTTCAGACTCTATGAGGACGACAAATGAATTTGAAGAGCCCTACTATGAGTTCTGGGTAGCATGGCAAGAGTTCATGAGCTCAGACATTCACCTGAGACATCAGCACGGCCTAGGAGCCCTGCCTACAGCACCACTTTCGAGATACTTGCGAATTTGATCCTTTGAGGCTTGAGACATATGAGACATATATGAGGCCCTGCTCGTCTCACCCATATGTCAGCCGAGAAGGTACTGCTTGCTGCCATGTCACTGAGGAAGGCACACGAGCAAGATGTAGCACAGGGTTTGATTATCATAATTGTTCGTACCATTGTGGGTACTATGTGCTAAGATCTGCAAAAAACCTGGGTCTACAATCCCTGATGGCCAGCAGCAGAAACTTGTTGAAGACACGTTCTCATAATTCGGCCATCTGCTTCTTGTGTTTAACAGACGAAAACCCTCACTTCGAAACCGGTGCCAAGATAAACTATGCGGGCACTGTACATGGTCCTATTTTGTGAAACACATGTTGAGAGCCGTCAAAGCCGGGATGCATCGGAGTACGGAAGAATGTTTCTCGATGTGCTCAACCTGTCCATGCCAACAAAGCCCTGCTACAGCCCACAAACCTCCCACGCCTCCCTCCATCACAAAAAAGAGTACAGGAGCAGCGGTGGCCACTGCATCAGAGGAAGAGGGAGGAAGAGGAAGAAGAAGAATCAACATTTGACTAGGTTGCTGTTGAGACGCGTAAGCTTAGTTGCCGTGATACGGGTACGGAATCACGCTGCTCAACCGCAACCCACATGAAGCTAAGATGTCCTCGTAACAGCAGCAGCAGCAGCAGCAGCAGGAGCAACTGCCCTTTCAGAATGCTTTATTGTAAAGTAACGGCAGCGGTGGCACGTGGTAGCATTGGCAACATTGTCCGTTTATCAAATTTTGATTTCTGCTACTTCTATCACTCCTACTCTGCCTTTACTCCTCTATCGGGAAGTGGGATATAATTAAGGGAGCAGGTGAGGAGTCGGTCTTGGGAAGAGGTAGGAACGGGTCAGGTTAAATCATTTGGTTCGCGGTTGATGGCTGAAGAATCAAATTGGAAGAGCGGAAACGGTCGAGTCAAATCGGGCAAGGCTTGTTGGAGCATTGGGTTGCCAAGTATGCATCGCGAACAGAAACTGCATGGTATGTGCCAAACATATTCTGCCAGGTTGTCCTCGAAGTTGTCCTTGAATCCTTATATTACGGGCCTCCACTGTATCGACGACGCTGTAGGAACTAGTAATTTTCAGTTCCATGCATATGCAATGGGCCAAGGAACGGTGAAAACATAGTCCTCTTTCCGAGCAAAAGACTCGTCAAATCGAACTGGCGAGAGATCCGCAACGAAGAAATCTCCAGGTATGTAATGGTGGGACTCGAACTCGTCTCGCGCAAAAGTCCGCCTCAGCTGCAGGCCGTTTACAAAGCTCTTGAAAACCTGAAGAGTCATTCATGTCCAGAAGAAACTATGTGGCTTCCGTGGGAAAACAGAGCAAATCATTACTAAACAGACAAAGACAAGTAAGGTAACAGCACGCACCGTCATGGACATTTGTTTTCTTTGCCCAGTGCATGTTTGTCCATCATTCAAAACTACCCCGCGTGCCTCTTACTTCCAATTGGAAAGGCACCGAAACTCGCTGAAAACACAGCACGAAGTGTGCAGCAAAGACTGCCCGTGACAAATTTGAAGCCTTGGCTCCGAAAATTCATGCAGTACAGGGCTCCTGTAAATGCAGCGGAAAAACTCCAGACCCAGATACCCATGGATTTTTTTTCGCAATGGGGTGCTTGTTACTTTGCCGTAGGATTTCTTTGGATTCTAAAAAACTGAGCCAGGAATCGCTATACCAAGGTCCAGGTCTTGTAGACACATGCTTGTTGGTTTGTGTAACTCTCCCGTGGTTCTGGATGTTCATACTTCGCAATTACGAACTTGCAAAGCAAAGCACGACTGACAGATCTGCACGAACGTCAACAAGCAAGAACACGAACCTGGAAGCTTCATTCTGGTAAAAATGAATGCCACGAAACACCTGGAATCCATCCGAGCCACATGCTGATACCATCTGGATATATGCCAGCAAGGTAAGGTCTTTGTTCCCCTTCGCAACCTCGAAGTTTTGCCAGGAGGAACCTGGAGGGCAAACACGATCAAAGGGCCCATGCCTCCAGGCATATGCTGCACCATGGTCTTCTCGGCCGTGGTGCTGCCAGGTGCTAGTGGTTTTTGGTGGCGTTGGTGTTGGTGGTGTTGGTGGCAATGGTTTTGGTGGTGTTGGGGTGGTGGTAAGGGTGGTGTTGGGGTGCTGTTGAGGCGGTGTTTGGTGTCGGGGTGGTGCTGTAGTGGCGGTGGCGGTGGCGGTGGCGGTGGCGGTGGCGGTGGCAGTGGCAGTGGCAGCGGCGGGCAGTGCTGGCGGCGCTGGCATGCTGTTCTGCGCGGCAGTGAGGGTGGCTGGTAGCGGCGGTTGCTGTCGAATTGTTTCTACTCTTCGGTTTCTGTCTGGGATTTCTCTTCGCTTCACCTAGCCGTGGCTCGGCTTGTTCATGGAGATGATTAAAACCTAGGGAACGGCGTCAATTAAGTCGATGAAGCACACGCAGCCCATTTGATAACCCACGTGGCGTACTACATACGCATGAACTATATGTACATGGCATCGAAATGCGTAATCTGCTCAAGTTGCTCAAGTTGCTCAAGTGTGCCCACCCGCTTTCCGGCCGAATCTCAAAATGAAAAGGAGACACTCCAATCAACAATTGCAGCGCGGCAGCCAAACAACGCTAAGTTCAATCTCAACAAATGTGGTACCATGAACAAGGATGGGACCATCTTGACCTGGTCCCCGAGTCTTCAAAGCTTGTGCTCCGTCTGAACTTCTTCGTGTAAGGGACCGAGGCATGTACATGTGCTTGGTAGTGGTGCGTTCCTACCTCTCCCCTTGGCATGTTTAACCGTTCCCTCGCCCAACAATGCTCGCTGGGCGCACATTGCTCAAGCGGGTGGGCGATTGGGGGCGTCTCTCTTGCAGGCCCAAGTCACTGAGCGGCTGCTACCGGCGAAGAAGCAACGCCCTTGGAAGAGGCCCATGCTGTTTTCAGCATCTCCTGGCAGGCAGCTGGCCGCCGGTCACATGACATGTTTTTTGGCGCCAACCGCATGTCCTAGAACGCGCGGCTTGCGCACGCATGTGTTGTGAATCAAATTAATCACTTCCGCCCCGTCCTCAGACTTTGCCACGCGCGGCCCAGATCGGTATTCCCATCCTCAGTCACCAAACAGGATGCGAAAATTGTGTAATGGGAATAACTGAAGACCTGCACTGTTTGGAGGCAATGGAAGCAAGCCTCAAACTCTCTCTAACTTCAGCGGCACTTCTTGCTGTAAGGGGAGACTTCTTAGCCAAAGAAGACTGGCCGCTGCTGACAGTTGAAACCTGGGATATGTTGTTAGCCCTCAAGCAAGGCTTCTCAAAGCTACAGTGTCATCCACGAGTCAGCGAAGCTTCAACCCAAACGCACGCCAGGGTGAGCAGCAATGAAATCTGCACGTCTAAGCAATGTCCACAATCCTGCTGTCCAACTCAGAAGTTCTTCCATACATCTGCCGCACAAGTGCGGGCACTGCGCGCATAATGCTGTGGTATATACGCTGCGCACAAACGTTGGGCGTGCGCGGAACATGGTTACAGGCGCGCGTGCCCTGCAAGTAGTTGTAGCTGCGCAGGCGGCAAACTGGGCAGCGCATTAAACGAACAAAGCTGCCCACAGCTTTGAAGGATCAAGTCACACACGCACGTGGCTTTTGAGTGTGCTGCACGTGTTCGCAGACAGCCGCAGACAGCCCACTCTTGCTAGCTTGTTAGCGCGCAAACACATTGTTTTTTAAGGAACGCCGGGTCGGCGAAACCCACTGGTGCTGGGACTGTTCCTGCTGCTCTGCTGCTGGCGGTGGTGCTGCCGCTATGCCCGACTGCTGCTAGTTGCGGATTGGGCACCCTGGATCAGGCGCCAGTCCAGCTGCGTTGCAGCAAGTTCCTGCCTGCATCAATTCAAGCTTGCCGCCACGTGTCAGAATTGGGCGCAGGCTGAGACAAGTCTGGCTATCGCGCACCTACAAACAAGCGAAAGTATTCGCTTCTACTTCTACATAAGACGCGCTGCACACAAAGCACACTCGGACATCTCAGGCTATTTCGCCTCCTCCCCACTGGCTCAGAGTGCTGTTGAAATGATCAGAGAGCGGTCCTCCGGACCCCCCTCCGAACCCATCGACGAGCAGAACTCCTCCTCCTTCTCCCGCAAACGTTGAACATCATTGCACCGTCACCCGCCACGGCGCACCCTCAGAGGCGCCAGCAAAGCACTTGTCATTTTCGGGGATCAAACATGACGCGTCATACAACACCTTTCCGCCACATATGCGCACGGCAAGGATCGTACATAGCTCCATGGCAAGGGCTTGGCTGCAGGCCAGTACACCAGCAAGCTTACGTCGCACGCGCTCCGGGCACCAGGCGCCAGCCATAAGAAAGTGGAGATAACGATTGTCAAAGTTCGCCGCTGCCTATAATCGAGTGTCACCTCCGAGCCAGCCGCGTGAGCGGCGCAGGCGGAATAAGAAGAGCAAAGCTGGCCGCAGCAGATCGATAGAGCTTGATCAGAGCATGCCCGGAATCCACTAAAGCCATCCTATGGCAATGGTCAACGGCTTTGGCACAAAATGTCCTGCAAGGTCTGCTAGCAAGCAAAGCTGCCAGACGGGCCTGCCAACAGGGTCCAAGGTATGGGAGTTCACTTCCCGAATTGGCACCCCGTGCGTACGCTCATCAACTCGCCAACTCTCACCGAAGCTTGAATAACAACATGCTTCGCTTAGGTCTGTGCGAATATGGAGATGGTGACTGAGCGCCGACTGACCGGTCTGATACAAGATATACGCCTGCACTCGAAGATTGAATTCACGCGGCCCCCCATGTGCCCAGCTTGCACGTGTCACCGCTGTACTAGCACTTGTGCGGAGTCGCTTTATAGGTAAAACCACGCTAACGCACAACAGTTTAAAAAGCTGATATCTCATAACTAAAACGCCTTTGCCCCACATCAAACCCCTCGTTGCACCTGACTGGCGTTTAGGACACGATGGCTTGCCATAGAACCATCACCCGTCGCAATTTGGAACTTAAAAGCCAAGCATCTGCTAATGTCGTCGCTGCACTGGCAGCACGCTTTCCCAAGACGGGCAGCTTCCTCAGGCGAATGGGCAGGGCTACTAAAAAATGAAATGCAGCGCTGCATATGTCTGATGGATGGCACACGGTGAACAGCGCCGAGCAGACAGTCTCCCTCTCTCTCGCGCATGCGGGCCTCTAAAGCTTTGTTGCGGGCGGCAGCACGCTTGCCTCCTTCGACCACCTGCCCCAGGCAGACACAGTTGCTAACGCAGAGAAGCGTAGGATCTTTCGTTGGTCTCAATCCAAATTTTATCGCTCTCCGCCCTGGGACACATGGTCCTCGGAATCTAAGCAGGAGCTCGCGCGTCTGCGCAGTACAAGTGATCTTATTCCAATGAACACCCGGTGTGGAGATGTGTCTTGCCTTCAGCCCCAAGCTGGTGTACTCCTTCACATCCTCGGAATCCACGAACCAGACAGGCTCCACGCCGGCCTTCCTGGGCTCCGCAGGAAGTAAATTTGACTTGTCACACAAAGAGCTTTCTCGGTCTGCAAATGTCAGTGACCAAACCCTGATAACAAGCAGCCCCGATACATCTTCATAAATCCCCCCAGCCAAGCCAATGACAACCTGGGCCGAGACCAACAACATGCACTTCCAAGTTCAATGCCGCCAAGTTGCAAGAAGTGCGACTGAACAACGGCTATATCCTGGAGGGGCAGCTGGAGTCTGGAGATTTGAAGAACTAACCCTTTGCGCTGCAAGAAAAGTGCTGAGCAAGAAAATGCTGTAGGTGGACCTGCGGAAACGGAAGCCAGTCTTCCCTGCTCCATTGGCAATGAACATTTGTTTTTGTATGGCAAGTCCTGCAAGCCCTCGTCGAACTTGGCCCGCCGTGCAGAAATGACCGCGAAGAAAATGTCGTCTTTGCTGGGGAGAACTGTTTGCTCCTGCAAGCGCTAGCCCCATATCTTGTGAATCTCTTCCCCCGAGTATCAAGCGATGCCTCCCCCCCTGTGCCCGCAATCTTAAATAATCAGGGGCCCGAGCCATATTGAATCTTGGGGGAGGTTATTTACTGCAAGAATTTGATAGGGCTGCCCTTAAAGTCCTTTGAAAATCCATCTAGCTTCAATAATTGCCGAATTAAATCAGTTAATAACTGGCACTAAGTAATCAACTGTTCAATCAATTTAGATTACTTAACGTATAAATCAACTGACTAACTAACGGGAAATTCCAGAACCCCCCAATTGAGTATTAGGTGGCCCCTGTCAAAGTAATCTTGCCCTGAAAAGTGCTCCTCCGGATTTGTACGCCTCTGAATTTATTACTTATTGTAACACAAGCGCGGAGTTCAATATTAGGGGGAAGGGTTTGCTATCCTGGATAGTAAGCTTGGGTTTGTCATGTGAGTGTCCGTGACTGTAGAGCAAGTCAGTGCAGCGAGTTTTTATTACAGCGCTGTAAGGCCAGCAGTTATCAAAGCATAAACGCCAGATGAGAGGAGGCGCGCCTGCACACCGTCCAGGCCAGGAAATTTAAACCAGAACGTGACCCCAAAGCACGAGTCTTCACGAGGGCTGGCGTTAAGACATGTTATTGGCGAGCTCCTTGCCTACGTGCACAGAAAGGCCACCGCAAGCTTTACTCTCCCCCGCACTCCTTCGAAGCAAGGAAGCTCTGCAACCCATCGATGTGGACGACGTCGTGCTGGAGCGAAAGAAGCCTCACTGACAGCGTGACTACAAACACCGCAAAACTCTATAGGATCTTTACCTTATGTATCGGACACCCCGGGTTAGCATCTTGCAAGCAGCCATGGCAGCTTATACAAACAAGGCAAGCATTGGAGCTGGATGCCTATAGATTAGCGCAAGGGGGGGTCACCGAATTTCATCGGGTACCTTCAGCTATACTGCGCTGGGCGGGGGAGGATGTTTCAATAACTAAATACATACTTGAGGTGTGCTTAGTCTAGCTTGTCAACTTAGTAGCCCCCCTAGTTCAAGGGGCAGTCCATGCCTTGGTTTGCGCTGATCTTAGCAGTAAAGGTAATTCTCCTGATCTCTTCTGAGAAGACTGGGGCTCTGGCATGCTGGCGCGATAAATCACTATGTAGTGGGATACCCATAAGTTGACCCACCTAAATGTCTCCATACCTTTTGTGAAGCTAAGGACGGAAAGAATGCCGTTGGCGATGATCATAATGGTGCACGAGTATCAGCAGCAGTCAGCACAACAACATCAATGATAAACATTCGATCTTGAAAGCTAACTTTATTTCTGAAGCCTCAAGACTATGTATGACCTTTGCTCAATGCTTCTACCCTACCCTGCATGCTGATTACCAAACGTGATGGTCAGGATATTGGGTGTCTTACAAGCAGTGCATAGGAACTTGAAGATCATCCGAACAATCTTAGACAGCATAATCAACTCATAGCCATGACGCCTGCAAATTTCCAATCCTTCGAGTCAAGGCTCTCTAATTACACTTAGGCAGTGTTCAGGTAGCAGAGAGATCAGGGTTGAGGGTTTTTATGGTGTGCTCTTAGCTGAAATTGCACGTACCTTCTACCAGCCGCATTTCTTCCACAAGGAATGATGTGGAACAGTTTGAATACAAATAACACTAAATAGTAGCTTCCATTTGATTTTCCTATAACCCCAATATATACCCGATTATACTCTAGTAGTTTCCATTTTCTTTTCCATTATCCCAATATAACCCCAATATAAACCCTATTATACTATAGTAGTTTCTATTTTCTTTTCCATTATCCCCTATATAAGCCCAATATAAAACCTATTATACTGTAGTAGTTTCCATTTTGTTTTCCATTATCTCTGTATAACCCCAATATTCCCAATGATTATATTATCTGGCTGTAAGTTGCCGGGTTTGGATCGGGACTGGCTTGTAGCAAGACTCGGGAGCCAAAACAAAAAAGGTAGCCTTTGCACGGTATAAGACTTGCGTACGAACATGTGGGTGGTTGTCAAAACTA